TACTGCTGATGATAAGGAGGCATTGCATTAGAATACGGTATGCCATTCTGTCCATGCATTGGCATCACCCCAGAACCCATCTGTGAAGGCACACTACCAGGTGGCATGTAAGGGTGATTATGCATCTGCATTGGCATTCCTTGATTTGCTGTGGCGGCAGCAGAGTTCCAGCCTGCAGAATGCTGAGGCGGAGCAACACCTGGAGCTGGAGCGTAATGGGCAGGGGCACCGTATGGATGAACACCTGGACCTCCTATCTGAGGTAGCTGCTGCCCAAAGATTGAAGGTTGAGAATTCAACATAGGGGTATTCGGGATTGTATAATCTCTGCTGCGATCATTATTAACCTGAAATCAGTAAAGATAACCATTCAATTTAGGAAATGACTTATGCCCTCACAAGGAAAAGGAAAAGGAAAAAGGAAAAAAAAACGGACTGAGGCAGGGGAGTAAAGCAATGAGCAGATAAGAGATGTTGACACTAAATCACAGAGTTCCCGTCACAGAGTAATATATCAAGCTAATAAAGCTTTCTCCACAAAATTGCTTTTACCTTATACTAAGATCTGTGTGTCGAGAGTAAGTGATATGAAGCTTGCAATATCCACCTTCATAAATGGAATGTCCTTCTAAAGTACTCCCTTCGCCAACAACAAGCTGTGCGTACATCTGTAGAATCATCAAATCTATTGCTTAGTTCAACTCACAAGCATACTAAGTATAGAAATAAATACATTTACTACCAACTTACTTCTTGTAGTTTGTACTAAGACACCAAACTTCACAAGACGGAAACCTACGTTTCTTCTAGACTTCAGAGTATACTACGAATTAGTAAAACAACTTTTTTAGTTACCGTAGTACTAAAACTAAAATTTCCTTAAACTTCTAAAAAAACTAAAAAACGAAAACTTTTTTTAGAAAAACTTAAACTAAATTAAACCTAACCTAACTTTTACTTTTTAACTTATAAACTAAGACCGTTATAGAAAGGTAAAAACCGAAAAACGTTAAAAGTAAAAAAGGAAAAACGTAAAGTCGTAAGTAGGTAA